CAGCTGGTTAATTTACTTGTCATATCCAGATGTTGTAATGTACTAGTATAGTTACTTAAAGTCATTTAATAGTATTTCAGGATATTGGACGTCCACCACCAGTGTATTTCAAGTGTCTCACAGTGAACTGTGTCACTAATGTCATCAGAAAAGTGAATTTTGTTACAAAAAAAGAATTCTGTCCAACTCTCTCTGCCATGAGGTCATTGTGAGGTAAATGGTGTTAGTATAAAAGCACTTTTCTCAGAGGTGAGATGGGGAGGGTGTGGAGTCCAGTTAGACTTGTTCATACAAACATAAAAGGCCTGGCTCTATGACCTCGAATAAAGATGCATAAAATAGAATACCCACCCCAGAAGAGATGTTTTTGACAAACCCTCCTAAGGGTATACGTACATGCAATGTGTGCAGAGTAAATACCACAAATGCTACTATGTGGATAGAGCAGTTATGGATAATCTATTTCATTGGATTTTTCCTATCAATGTCTTTGTTCCCAGGAAGAAATTATTAAAATTAGTGTATGAATGATAAATTAGCAATACATTAAGACAAGCCTCACAAATCAGTGGTGGGAGTGGCTACATTAAGTAGCTGGGCACAGGGATTCTTTGGAGCCTTCTGGTGACACTCATGTACGCTGTTAAGTCAATAGTTAAATGAAAGGAAACTTACAAATTTAGAAGAGAAAAAGTAAGTTCCTCCTTGTCTAGACTTCAGACTGGGGAAAACCATTTGTGATTTTAAAATCCCAAAGCAATAGAATAAATCACAAAGGAAGGGATAGATTGGCCACATAAAAACCAGACTTTAAGATGTCAGAAGATGAAGGCTGTACAGACTGGAGAATAAATATATTTTCAATCAATATGATATGGGACATACAGTTTAATATGCTCAATCTCGGTCCCGGCCACCACCTGTGATTGAAGTGGGATGATGTCACCTCCCTAGTGGGGTGTGTCCAATTTTAAGTCCCAAAAGATAGCACCCCGGTCCCTGACCCCACGAGTGTAGCCCACCAGCACACAGTTTATCAGACATCGGGGTGGGAGGACTTTGCTAGGAGGCACGAGTCCTGGTGTGCCTCGTGAACTTTCTCCAGTTGCAAGTTCTGGAAAAGGGGGAAGCAGGGAGTGGGAAATTGCTCCAGATCCAAAGATGCTGGCTGCAGACTTTGCTAGATCAGTGGGAATGTGGAGGGAGGCGATTTTAGAGAGAGGCTGGTGGGAGCTTGGCAATTCAGTGTCATTTTACTCTACTGCGTGGAGAGGAAGCTGGGTAAGAAAACATTGTAAGAGTGTTGGCCTGTGAACTGAAGGTCCCAGGTTCGATTCTGGTCAGGGGCACATGCCTGCGTTGCAGGCTCGGTCCCCAGCAGGGGATGTACAGGAGGCAGCCAGCCAATCAATCATTCATCAATGATGTTTCTATCTCTCCCTCTCCCTTCTTCTCTGAAATCAGTAAAAATATTAAAAAAAAGAAAAGAAAAGAAAACATTGTAAGAAATGGGCCATGAAGGGTTTGTGTGGGGAGCACAGCTTACGTGACAGACTTCATGGCGAGGGGCCTTGGAAAGAATGCCAGTTAGATGCCCAGGCAGTCTGGGGCAGGAAGACAGCAGTTACCCCCACGCTCAGCTCCGGAGTCGGAAGGCAGTTGAAAAGCAGGTGGATGGGTCTCTTACCAAAAGGCATCCATGTGCTCTAGTGGAAGAACTTCCCCTTTTGGGACTGACCACTGGCTGCTTAGGTGTTTCTCCTTTTAAATGGGGGCTTATTCACATCTCAAAGATGAGCGTTTGGAGGAAAAGGGTTCGCTGGTTTGGGGTCAGCACTGGGGACAAATGATTCCCAGGGGACCCCAGCGGGCAGCCGCAGGCTCAGGGAGAGCTTGTCATCAGTGTCCCAAAGGGGAGGAGCCAGGGCGTCCCCTGGGGCCAGGTGCCCTGTGCACCAGGGCTTCAGGTACAAATAAGGGGCTTCCCCACCTTTCCTGCCGGCCTGGGGTGCGAGCACATGACAGTGCGGGGTGTCTGGGCCGTGAGGTGCTAGGGAAGCCGGGGAGGGGGCTGCCACGTGTGTTAGTCTCACCTCCACCAGGTGCCTCAGGTCCCGGCAGCTCTTCAGTATAGCTCTGCTGTCTCCTACGCCTGTCTGCCCCAGACATGATTCTGTTTATCTAGGCATTCACTGGGTAACTGTACAGCGAGAGAGAGTGTGACGGTCCCGGAGACACTTGCGCAGCAGCGAGTGGCCAAATGGCCCGGCAAGCAAAGGCGTTGGGGGTCAAGAAGTCAACCACCAGGATCTCAGCAAAGAGTCCAAGCTCTGGAACGTCAGCGACGACGAGCCTGAGAACCGGGAAGTTGCCCCATGCTTGACAGGAAGCTGTTGCAGGTTGGTGTCCCCACCCAGGTGCCCTCCATGTTGTGGAAGGTACACACAGTCTCCCCTGGTTACCAAACGCCTCGGCTGCGGCTCCAGAGTGACACACGAGTTCTTGTCACCCAGCCAGCGTCTCCCGGAGGCTGGGAGGCAGAACATCACCAAGACGGCGAGAGGATGATTTTTACAGTCCTCACCCGAGTGGTGACAAGGAGAACTTCGATGAAACTCAAATGTTAGTGTCCGTAAGCCAAGTTCATTGGCATCCAACCACGTCCCTTTGGTTAAGCATCGTCCGTGGCTGTTTTCCTACGTTTGCAGAGTTGAGGAAATGCAACCGAGACCCTCTGGCCTCCAGTAACATATTTCCTATCTGGCCGGTGAAGAAAAAGCTTGCTGACCCCCCAATAATCAGGCTCAAACCCCTCCACAACCTCTCATCCCACGGGGAGTGAAAGCTGAAATCTTCACCATTGGCAGAGGCCACTTGTTCCTGCGGTCTCTCCTACTTCCTCTCCTCACTGCCCGCCCTCCCACCTGACACCCCCTGTCCCCCCATGTTCCCAAGGCCTCTGCCTTGGAGCCTCTGCACATGCTGTTCTCTGGACTGCCCATCCTCCCCCCGCCTCCCGCACCTGCACGGCTCCCCACGCCCCTCCCTCCCTGCCATCTTCCCCATGACACTCATTGCCATCAGGCCTCTGGACACAGTGAGTCAGTGCCTATCTCCCCCCACATCGAAAGTAAACTCTGTGAGGACAGCCACTTCCTTCCTTCGCCATGGCATCCTCAGGATCTGGCACATCGTATCAGTAAATGCTCGTTGAAGGAATGAATGAATGAAAATACAGACATCTGGGATGGGGGCACCTATTGGGCTAGCTGTGTGGCAGGGACTTGCTCCCAGAATCCAGCTCTCCTCTGGCCACAGCTGACCCCAGGCTGCTGGGCACTGAGCTCCTGGGGGTGATCGGCAGCGTGTCCTATCTGGGTTTTCATTTACAGGCGCCTCGGAGGTGGGGAAGCCAGGGAGCCAGCAGGCAGAGCGGGTGCACAGTGATGGAGGAAGGACTTGGGGGTCCCCTTTGCTCCCCAAGTCCACGCCAAAGGTCCAGCTGCATTTCTGACCTTCCTCAGGCAGGTCTGCGTTAGAGCCCCCTGCGGCCCCGGATACCGACTCTGCATCCCTGCACCGCCTGGGTTCCCTCCGCTGTAACCTTTCTGGTGACATCCCTGGGCCTGGAGCAGGTTTCCAGATTGGCTTGCCCTCCGACCTTCCGAGTTTGGGACCCTCCAGAGCCCAAGCCGACCGGGTGACCCCTCGGAGCCCGGACCCCCTCCCTCCCTCTGGAGGAAGCCTGTGCCTGGGCCTAGGCTGAACAGGAACTTCCATCCCCATTGGGGAAGGGGAACTGAGTCCTAGCCCCAGTGGGCCCAGAGTGGCCATTTCCCCTTTAAATGACTCAAACCGGCCATTCTCAATAATGAAAGAGTCTGAAATATTGCCCGGATTACCAAACATATGACTCAGAGACAAGGAGTGAGCGAATGCCGTTGGGGAAATGGCACCGATAGACTAGTTCTAGGCAGGCCTGCCACAACTTTCATTTCGTAAATATAAAACCCAAGCAAATACCCCCCCACACCACCACCACCACCTCACCCACCAGCCTGTGAAGCACAACAAAGCAATATATCGAGGTGTGCCTGTATAAGGACCGACCCCACCAGCAGGGGAGAGGGCAGAGGGTAGGGGGGACCAGTTCGCATTCTCAAACGACCTGTGTGCAGGGCGGGTCATGTGCCCCTTAGCGCCCTGTGGGGAGCTCAGGCCACAGGCTGGCGAGCTCAGTGCAGCCCGCCCCAGGCCTCCCGGCCTTTGCCCGCGAACTGCTCTCCGCCTCGGCCGCCCACCCAGCCCGCCCCACTGGGTACCTCAGGGGCCACTTCTCCTGGAAAGAGCCTCCTGGCACCCCTCCCCCGCCCGGCTGCCACAGGGCGCCACGACCGCATGGTGTCATCACGGCCTGTTTACTGGCACCCCAGCCGGCTTCCCCACCGGGGGAGGGGCTACCCGGGGGCCGGCGTCTGATGCTGCTGGCCCTGGACCGCTCCCTGACCCGATGGGCAGAGAGAGCCAGCGGGCCTGCCCTCCTGGGATTTGCAACCTGGCTCCTCAGAGAGGCTCTGGCTGCAGCTGAGCAGGCCACCTGCACACACACACACGCACACAAACACACACACACGCACACAAACACACATACACACGCATACACACACATACACACACGCACACATACACGCACACACACACACACGCACACACACACACACAGGCGCACACTCCCACGCGCACACGCACACGCAGGCAAGAGGGACATTGGCACCACAAGAGAAGGCTGGGCTCCCCTAGCCATCCCCACCCTCCTGTGCCCCTGCTTCCTCCCTCCCAGGGCGGGTCCCCTGTGGCTCCCACTTTCCATCCACTGCGGCCTGATGCTCTGGCCTTTCCCGGCCTGGGTGCCTCGGCCGTGGCGCCCCAGAACGTGTCCGTGTGGTGCTTGGTGGTGGCCTGGCCACCAGGATCCTAGAGTGACCTCGGCCCCCTACCACCCAGCCCCGTCCACAACGCCACCCAAGCTGTCACCAGCGAGGAGGTGTGGGCCGTCACGTGGGCCTATCTGAGCAACCACATTCTCGCTTCCTTCTTTCACGGCCGTTGGGCGTTGGCGGGGCGGGGGCCGGAGGGGGGCACAGCAGAGCCCTGCAGCCTGGCTGGGTCCTTGTCCCTGAAACGGGGAAGCCGCTCTGGGCCCACGAGGCAGCTGTCCCATGCTCCGCTGAGCATGGCCGGTGAGTGCTGGCTCGCAAAACCACAGGGGTGCCCGGGGGTGCCCAAGGGACCAGCGGTCCCGTCTGGCAGCAGACGGCAGGTGGGGGGAGGGGGTCAGGCCCTGGGCCGCAGCCCCCGGGGAGGGCCACCAAAGGTCGGGGGGCTGGGAGCCAGGACCTGCCTGGAGCCCGTGGCCGCGTTCGGCTCCCCACCACGGCCACCTGCCCCCTCGGGCGGGTGTGCCAGCGGCTGCTGGCCTGGGAGCATTCGGAATTCGAACAATTGGAGGAATCGGGAGCGTTTCTCTAAAAATCAGCCTATCTCCCCCCCCCCCCCCCCCCCGCACACACACACCCCTTTCATGGGTGGGGCCCCGGGGCCCAGAGCGGGGAAGGGATTTGCTCGGGAGCAAGGCTGGGGTTCGGTCTGGGGGACGCCTGGGAGGGACGCACGGTTTGTCCATAAAAATGTCGTTTCCGAAGCCGAGATCTTCATGCTTTTTGGTAAGACAGAGGCGATAATGCATGGTCATAGGAAATGATTGAGCTATCAGCACCCGGGTGCCATTGCTGGCAAATAAGACAGGAATAATGACACCACTCAACAATTTGTATTTGGGATGCTTTAGGGGCAAAAAGTGGTGGCCATTACACATACATGAACACACACACGCACACACACACATGAACACACACTCACACACAAACACACACATACGAACACACACACAAACACACACACTCGAACACACACGAACACACACTCGAACACACACACACTTGAACACACACACACACGCACCATCGGCCGGGGTCAGGCCCTGGCTGTCTGACCCTTTTTCCCCTCCCAGGCCCTTTGGTTCTCTCCCTCTCCCATCTGAGTTCCCAGGCCAGGCCTCTCAGGTCCGAGGGCAGGGGGCTCCGGAGGCGGCTCCCGGCCCCAGGCCCCCATCGGCTCCCTCTGGGCCGCCTGGCCTGCTGCACCTGGCAGGGCAGATGCCTCCCTCCCCGGGCCTGGCCCGAGGGGCTGGGGGAGGGAAACCGGATGTGGACACGGCGGGGCCGGGCTGCCAGGCTTAGTGCCTCCCGGGAACCTCGGCCGGCTGGGCAGGAGCAGGGCCTTCCCAGAGGCTGGGGACCCTTGGAGAACCCTGTGCCCCCTTTTAGGAGATGAGAAAACTGAGGAAGGGAGGGGAGAAGCGGCCGCTCTGGGGTGCAGGGCCCCCAGGAGCTGATAGTCCATGTAACAGTCTCAGACCAGTGCCTGGCGCACTGCCTGCACTCGGCATTTGTGATTTCCTAGCCCTGTGGTGGTGGGCAAACGGCGGCTGGCGAGCCACATGTGGCTCTTTGGCCCCTGGAGGGTGGCTCTTCCACAAAATACCACGGCCCCGGGCGAGTCTATGTTGAAGAAGTGGTATTAGAAGAAGTTTACGTTAAAAAAATGTGGCTCTCCACAGAAATGTCAGTCGCCGTCCTGTTGGTATTTGGCTCTGTGGACTGATGAGTTTGCCGACCACGGGCCTAAGCGAGGCCAGGCTGCCCCTGCCCCCGGGGCTTGCTGTGGAGGCAGATTCCCAGGCTTCCTGCCGGGGTCTCTGACTGACGTGTCAGAGGTGGGTCAGAGCTGCCTCGGGCTGGGGGCTGTCAGGGATGTGGCCCTCCGGGTAGAACAGCAGTGCCAGCCGCTGGCCTTTACGGAGCACTCACGATGGGCCACTCACTTCACCCACAGCCCCGTGAGGGGCCTGCAGGCCCTGCCATCATCCCTGGGTTCCAGCCAGGAGTCCTCGGCTCAGAGGGTGAGCTCCGAGGTCACACAACTTGTGAATGATAGGGCTGGATTTTTTATTTTTTTAAATACCGTATTTTCCGGCGTATAAGACAACCCCCTAATTTTATAGTTAAAACATAGGTTTGGGCCTATATTTGCTGTATAAGACTACCCCCCACTTCCGAGGCAACACCAGTTCTTCTTTTTTTAATAGACCGCCTCTCTGACTCTGGCCAATCTGAGCAGGCTTTTTACTAGAACACTGTGTCTGCCCAGATGGGGCTCGGCAGACAAGTAGGGTGTGACAGCTCTTTGTCGCTCTCTGAGCCCTGCCCCGCCCCCTCCTGTGGTGAGCGGCTCTTTTCCTGCCATGGGGGGGGGGGGGGGGAGGGGGGCGCTGAGGTGACAGGGGAGGCCCGGAGGGAGTCCCCTCTCTGGGGCTGTTTTCCTAATCTGTAGAATGGGCATCACCGCAGCCGGAGTGGAGGGAAGATGAAGGAGGCCCCTCCTAGGATGGGATGATCCATCCACAGTGAGGGCCTTAGTTTTTATAGTTTATATATTTTTATTGATTTCAGAGAGGAGGGGAGAGGGAGAGAGAGACAGAAACATCAGTAACGAGAGGGAAACCGTGGATCGGTTGCCTCCTGCGTGCACCACCCTGGAGATCGAGCCCGCCACCCAGGCGTGTGCCCTTGACCGGAATCGAACCTGGGACCCTTCCGTCCGCAGGCTGACACTCTATCTGCTGAGCCACACCGGTTAGGGCATCGCCCCCATTCTTTGAGGCAGTGGGACCTGTTTGACAGATGAGAAAACCGAGGCTCAGAGAAGGTGAAGTGACCAGGCCAGGGTCCCACAGCTGCTAAGGGGCCTCCCCCGTACCCCCACCCCATGCCTCTGCAAGCACCGGACTGTGGGGATGGGGACCGGGGTGAGGGCCCCTCTCCATGGCACCCTCCCAGTTCCCAGGCTTCAGACCGTGGGGCCCTGACTCACCAAGAGGCCTCTCCCCACCCAGGAACCGGTGGGCTGGGCCTTGAGGGTTTGCCCCTCCCTCCGCAGGAAGTGGCTGAGGGCTCAGCCTTCCAGGAACTGAGAACTGAGGTGGGGGTGCGTCTCCTCCTAGTTATGAAATATGAAGTACGGCTCTGAGCCCGTGGCGTCTCCCACAGCGCCTCTGCCCCCGGGAGCGTGGGGGTGGGGCTGAGGTTAGGCCACGCTCCCCTCCCCTCAGGAGGCCCTCCTCCCCACCTGCAAAGAGCCCAGTGGGAGAGTGGAACAGAGGGGTCGGGACCACACACCAAGAGGCCCCCGGTCCAAGCAGGCGGTGCTATCCTGTCTTCCGGCGGCTTCCAGGCTCTTGGCCGTGGACCCCCATCAGCGGATGAGGGCACGGACCTACGGATGAACCGTATACGGGAACGCCTCCCCTCAGGTCCTACGACAAATGCATCCAGAAATGGGGGTCAAGAAGGGGAGCCCTAGCCAGATTGGCTCAGTGGATAGAGCGTCGGCCTGCGGACTCAAGGGTCCCAGGTTCGATTCCAGGCAAGGGCATGTACCTTGGTTGTGGGCACATCCCCAGTGGGGGGTGTGCAGGAGGCAGCCGATCAATGTTTCTAACTCTCTATCCCTCTTCCTTCCTCTCTGTAAAAAAAATCAATTAAAAAAATATATACATATGATGATGATGATGACATAAGAAGCTCTAATCGTTCATATTTTCTTTCTAAAGTTTTTATTTTGTTTTAATTTTTATTGATTTTAGAGAAAGGAGGAGGAGGAGAGGGAGGAAGGCTGACTTGTTGTCCCACTTACGTATGCATTAACGGGTTGATTCTTGTATGTGCCCCGAACGGGGATTGAACCCACAACCTCAGTGTAGGGGGACCACGTGCTAACGAACGGGTGTACGGGCCACGGCAGCTCAGATGCTTTCTGTCTGCACCCCGTGGCCATCCACGTTGATCAGCGGGAAAAGCCCCTATTGGCGGGATTGGGTGTGGGCCGCTGTGCACCAGGCATGCGCCTGGTCGGGAGGATGCCCGGAGCCGAGCGTCTGCCCCAGAGCAGACACCCGCCCAGCCGTGGCCGCCCAGCATCCCAGCCGGAGGGGGTGGGGGTAGGGAGGGCTCGGCAGCCCAGGGGTGGAGCCGTCCTGACGTCCCTGCCCGCGTCTCCCTGCAGGTGCCATGCCTCTGCCGCTCCTGCTGCTGCTGGTCCTGCTGGGCCCCGGCAGCCGCCTCAGCCTCGGGCTGCCGGGCGTCCAGGGGGATGCGGACGAGGACGACCTGGGAGAGTATGAAGACACGTATGTCACGGACCCTCCGGAGATGCTGGAAACCATCGCAGGGGCTGGGGCCCCGGGGCCCGAGCATCAGGCTACGGTGGGAACGCCGGGGCAGACAGGTGCGCCCGAGCCAGCCACTCCGGAGGCGACCACAGGAGCAGCCCCTGGGGAGCCCAGCACGGAACTGGCCACATCGGGGGTTCCGGTCACACCGGGCCCTCTGGCCACAGAACTGGACACTACCACCCCTCCCACCACAGAGGCTCCGTCCACAGAGGGGGCTCCGTCCACAGAGCTGGCCGCTGCAAAGACCCTGCCTACAGAGCCACTGACCACGCAACCCACAGCCACGGAGGCCCTGACCACGGAGCCACTGACCACACAACCCACAGCCACGGAGGCCCTGACCACGGAGCCACTGACCACGCAACCCACAGCCACGGAGGCCCTGACCACGGAGTCACTGACCACGCAACCCACAGCCACGGAGGCCCTGACCACGGAGCCACTGACCACACAACCCACAGCCACGGAGGCCCTGACCACGGAGTCACTGACCACGCAAACCACAGCCACGGAGGCCCTGACCACAGAGCCGGCTACCACAGCAGCCCCTCCCATGGCGCCCACGACCACAGAGACCCTGTCCGAGGAGCCGGCCACCACGAAGGCACTGTCCACGGCGGGTCTCTCCACGGCCCTTCTCGTGCCGTCTGACCCTCGCCACGGGGGTGCCACCGAGGCCATCGGCAACTCCTCAGACGCCTCCTTCAAACAGGGGAAGAGCAGCCAGGGCCTGTCCACGCCGAGCCCCACGGGGGGCCCGGATTACATGCCCGTGAAGCACTGCCTGCTGGCCATCCTCATCCTGGCGCTGGTGGCCACCACCTTCCTGGTGTGCACCGTGGTGCTGGCCGTGCGCCTCTCCCGCAGGAACCACATGTACCACGTGCGCAGCTACTCGCCCACCGAGATGGTCTGCATCTCCTCCCTGCTGCCCGAGGGCGGCGAGGCGCCCGCCCCCACGGCCAACGGCAGCCTGCCCGCCGCCAAGGGTTCGGGCCTGAAGGAAGGGCCCCAGGAGGACCCCAGCGGGGATGACCTCACCCTGCACAGCTTCCTCCCCTAGCGCCCGCCCCCGCCCCTGGGCACGGCCCTGGGTACGCCCGGCTCCCCGCTGCCTCCCTCCGCTCAGGCCCGGGCCTCCTCCCAGCCTCTGGGGAGGGGTCTCCGGGCAGGGCCCTGGCCACTCCGCCAGGACCGAGGGCAGCCAGGGTCCGAGGCCTCTCCTTCCTCCTGGCCGCTGGAGCCTCATGCCCACGAGCCCAGGGAAGACTCAGGTCCCCTGCCGGCACCCACCCCATGCATTTGGGGGTGGGGGGTCCTGAAGAGTGTGGCGTCCCGCCGAACCCCAAAGGGGGCAGCGCGGCTCCTCTCAGCTACGCCTCCGGGAGCCCGGGGTGAGGTCTTTCTTTTCTTTCTTTCTTTCTGAGTTTCCACTGAATATTTTTAAGTAATTCTTTATTGTGGAGACTATTGCCTATGCCCCCTTTCTCCCCTTGCCCATGAGGGCCGGGCAGGCATGGGGAGCCCAGGGCCACCCCTTATCTGAGACTGTGTAGGCCAGCGAGCTTCCTGCTGGTGACAGAGTAACCCCATCCTGCCCTCTCCCCCGCCCCCGTGTCCCGGGTGCAGGCTGGGCTCGGTCCCATTCCCCAGAGGGCCCTGTGTCCTGCTGCCCAGCCCAGGCCCCGTGCTTGGCAAATTTAAAAAAATAAAAATAAAAAAAATAAAAAAAATATATATATATAATTTCAGAGCAGAAGGGAGAGGGAGAGAGAGAAGCATCTGTGATGAGAGAGAATCATTGATGAGCAGCCCCCTGCATGCCCCACTCTGAGGACTGATCCCGCAGCCCAGGCCTGTGCCCTGACCGGGAATCGAACCGTGACCTCCTGGTTCACAGGCCGGCGTTCAACCACTGAGCGTGGCCACGCTCGGCGAATGCTTGATGAGCGTGTGCTGGCTGAATGCGTCAGACATCAAGGGGCCTCCTTCAGGTGGGGTCGGCCCTTCCCCCCAGACCCAGACCCAGCCCCCTCAGGAAGCCCATGCACGCGCTGTTGGGTTAACAGTATTGTGTCTTGGACACAGCGGGGAGGGGAGGGCCCGTGGGGGGAGATGGGGGGGAAAATCTTGGTATAACTCTGAGCAGCTGGGGAAGGTTTCAGGCCGTTTGGAGGTAAGGGAAGGGACCCCTTTATTCAGGCCTCCCCCGCCCCCGCCTTGAGCCAGTTCTGGCCTACAGAATTGCCCCCCGATCTCAGACAAGTCTGCACATCAGTGCCAGCCTCCCCAGGACCCCACCGTGTCCTCTCCGCCCCACTTGGGGCCGGACTCCCATGAACACCCAGGACCCATCACCCCCTCCCCAGACTCCGTGGCTTTTGTGCGGACTGGCTGTCATTTAAAAGCTCAGGGCCGGTGGACTTTTCCTTAAAGGGCCAGGCAGGACATTTTAGGTTTTGTGGGGAAGCTAGGCCTCTGTTGCAACTTTTCAACTCTCTTACCATACTGCCGGTGCAGCGCCGCGACTGATACGGTGTTTGGCTGGTTTCTAATAAAACTTTATTTATAAACAAGCAGCTGGCTGGATTGGGCTCTGTGCGTTTGCTGACCCCTGACCTCAGCATAGGGTGACCAGAGGGCCCCCGTCTGCCTGAAACGTGCCTGATTTTATTTTTTTCACTTTTATTTATTTATGTATTTATTTTTGGTGAATCCTCACCTTGAGGCTCCGCTGATTTTTAGGGAGAGTCTAAAAGAGGGAGAGACGGAGAGAGACATCAGGGCCCCGGGCAGGGGAGGAGCCTGCAACCAAGTTATGAACGTGACCTTGACCGGAATTGAACGTGACCTTGACCGGAATTGAACCCGGGTCCCTTGGGTCCATAGGCTGACGCTTTATCCATTGAGCCAAGCCGGTTAGGGCAAGACTTGCCTGATTTTAGCCCTGAAGTCCCCTGTGGCACCGGACTGACTGCACGCATTACCACTTTCAAAACCCTCCTTGGCCCCGGGCTCAGGTCAGAGAGCGGAGGCCTCTGGAGGGGAAGCCACAGGCCCACCGTCCGTGGCTGGGCCGGGTTCCGACTCCGTCTTCCGCCTCCTGGTGCCTCTCAGTCATTTTCCTACAGAGAGCAAGCGGGACCTGCCACCTCTCGCCCACCCCGCTCGGCCTTCATCTCAGGGGAGGCGTTTTCTCTTCTAGAAAAATACCTCCAGGGGCCTCTCTGGACGCGAACGACCCTCCACTCCAGGACGCAACCTGCACAGAAAATTTCAAAGAGGTTGGGGTCTGAGGCACTGGCTGCATGCAGCCCAGGAGAGAAGGGGAGGGAGAAAGAGGCGGGGCTGAGGCAAGGCAGGGGGGCATGGAGGGACGCCCTCCCCTGCCCTGAACCCCCAGGACGAGTCTCATACGCGAGGGAGGTGCGTTCGAGGTGCTTTGGTGGAAGAGGGGTGTCCTCTGGGGTCCGGGGCAGCCAGCCCTGGAGTAAAAGGGTTGATGCGTTAGGAGCCACCTGTCACTCAGGTCCCCTTTGGGCGTGATCAGAAAGATCAGCTGGGAGGCTCCCCCTAGGGGGTTTGGGATCCAGAAGCTAAAAGACTTGGGGGACACCTGAGAAGCTCTCTCGGGGTCCTGTTACCTCGCCTTTCATCTTTCGGGGCGGGGAGCGGGTTTCCCTTTCTCCCTGGTGTTCTGTGTGTTTCTCTGAGGTGCGGGATGGAAGGGAATCAGAGATGATGGGTGCCTAAAGTAGCCACCAGGGGGCGCCCGGTACCAGCTCTTAGAGACACGGGCAGCCCTGAGCTGTCTTCTGTCCAGTGTTTGAGGATGGAGGGCTGCCGGTGGTACCCAAGCCACTATCTGTCATGCTTGCCAATCTCCTTGGTGTAAACACTTCCACTGCAGATTTTGAGCAACCAACCACTCCTCTATAGGGGTGTCGAACTCAATCAGAGAAGGGGCCAAAATCTAAAATCCAGCCTAAATTGCGGGCCGAATGGTTTACTGAACAGTCATAAACTGTCAATGTGATGGAAACACAGCGGAGTGCAGTGATGACAGCGCGGTGCGGGCCACATTGCAAGGCCTGGCGGGACGGATTTGGCCCGCGGGCCTTGTGTTTGACACAAGTGCATGATAACAATACATGCAAATCACCCCAAGGGCATAAATAATAGGAGAATGTCATAAAGTAATTAGACATGGGTGGGTGTTGAGTATTGAGGACCTTGGTTTGTCAATGTCACATGAGACAACTGGCTCGCAAGGTTCCGAAAACTGGACGGTTGGCTCTCAGACACTCAGGCCGGCTCCTGCCTGCCCTGGACCCTCCCTCCTGCCCGGCCTCCCCTTGTCCTTGGACGTCAGCGCCCGGATGGCCCCGCGAATCCCTTCAGCAGCATCTCCTTGAGTCCCTCCCAGCAGCCTCTCCCCTTTTACAGACGGGAAAGCGGAGGCTCAGAGAGACGAGCTCACCTGCCCCAGCTCATGCGTGAACAAAGCTCCGGGATTGGAAGCCAGGCCCGAATCAGAAAGCCCATAGCTGTTGTTTTTTGTTATTTAAAGAAAGCCACGTCCTCACCACTACGCCACACCGTCTGCGGGGTTCCAGGGGAATCCCATGCCCCCACACTCTCACCCCTGCCGACCAGCCCTGGCGCCTGGAAGTCCCCATTTGTCACCTTTTAAAAAAAAAATTTTTTTTTTTAATATATTTTATTGATTTTTTTACAGAGAGGAAGAGAGAGGGATCGAGAGTCAGAAACATCAGTGAGAGAGAAACATCGACTAGCTGCCTCCTGCACACACCCCCACCGGGGATGTGCCTGTAACCAAGGCACATGCCCTTGACTGGAATCGAACCTGGGACCTTTCAGTCCGCAGGCCGACGCTCTACCCACTGAGCCAAACCGGTTTCGGCCCCATTCGCCACCTTTTGCCGCTCCCGGCTGCTGCGGGAAGACGCTGGCACGTGGAAGGGCGACCCACGTTCTTGCAGGGAGCAGAGCCGGGGCCGAGGACCGAGAGAGGAGGCTGGGGACAAGGAGCTGGCACTTATCGGGCAGCGGCTCCATGCCCGGCCCCAGGCCATACCGTTTGCATGAGCTTATTTAGGCCTCACAACAGCTCTATGACGTGGTGGACACAACCATTACCCCCGTTTACTGTAGGGGACACTGAGGTTCAGAAAGCTGGACCCCTTACTCCAACTGAACAGGACACACGGCTAAGAAACTGGACTGCTGACTGCAGCTCCGGGCACAGGGAAGGAAGGCGGGTAGACAGGAAGTGGGGGGGGGGGAGGTGGATGCTAAGTTTGTCTTAGGAGTTTGGGCTGCCAGCCCTGGGGGTGGTACATTCAGCAGGTGATCTGGGCAGAGATTCCCCAAACTCATCCTCCATATCCCCCCTTCACGGGCATCCCGCCAAGCCCCGTAACTCCATGGTTATGGTGTGTCCGTTGCATGCCAGGCCCTGTCTGGGGTCCTGGGGTGCCAGGGGGGCCGTACGGAACTGGCCATGCCTTTTGGGGCTCCTGGGTCTAAAGGGAGAAGGAGACGAATCGAATGACCACCCAGAGTCCAGAGGAGAGGGGCCAGGGGCCGGGGGGGGGGGGGGAGGGCTCTGAGGGTGCGCAGTGCGGCCAGACCTTGGAGGCGGGGTGAGGAGGAGTCTGGAGACCGTCTGAGATGGGCAAGATGCAGGTTTGTTGACTTGGGAGAGGAAAGATAGAGAGAGAAGAATGTCCCAGGCATGGAGCTTCAAGGAATCTCCCCGCCCCCTCCCCGGAGTTTTCAGCAGTCCCCCAGAAAATAAACAGGTAAGACAGTGGGGTCCCCTAATCCCAGCAGCCAAAGCCTCTGAGCCCCAGCTCCTGCCCCGCTCAGACCCCCATCTCACCCATGGACCGACGTATCCGTTGGATGCGTGAAGGAGAGCGCCTGCCGCCTCTCACTCACACTCTGCCTTCTCCACATGCTGCTGCCCCAGGACCTTTGCACATGCCACGCCCCCCTGCCTGGCACTCTCCTCCCAGAGGTCTGCATGGCTGGCATCGTCTCATCCTTTAGGCCGCAGCGGGAGTGTCCCCTGCTCCGAGAGGCCCTCCCCGCAGCCCGGCCCCAGGTGTCCCTGAGGACGGTCCCCCCTTTCCCTCCGAGGCCCTGATGGCTGCCTGGGGTGATGCCGGTGGTGTATTGATTTTTATTTTTAAATATATTTTATTGACTTTTTTACAGAGACGAAGGAAGAGGGATAGAGAGCTAGAAACATCGGTGAGAGAGAAACATCGATCAGCTGCCTCCTG